CTGCTTGTGCTCGCTCTCTCAAATAAATAAAATCTTTAAAAAAAACAAAAAAAGAATAGATTATCTACTAAATTATGTGTAAAGTTTTCAATGACAGTATTATCTTTAAGGCACTAAAGGATATTTATAACAATACAGGCGGTATGATCAGAGATGGCCTCAGAATGGCCTCTCCGAGCAGCTGACCCATCAGCCCAGAGGAACAGCTCGAGTTCCAACACTTTCAGGTCTGGACCGTGATTAGGAAAATGCAGAGACCCTAAGGCCTTAACCACCTGGCTTTGCTTTTTCCCTCCATCTAGTCAGTAGAGAAGAAACCCCAAGCCTCCCAGCCCAGCGAGAGCCTCATGCAGCTGATGGCCAAGGGGGAGAGTGAGGCGCTCTCTCAGATTTTTGCCGACCTGCGCCAGCACAATGAGTTCAGGTACATGCCTTAAATCAGGCCAGCCTGACGTCCCTGCTGCAGCCCAGATGGCCTGGGCTGTAAGATCTAGAAACCAAGTCACTTGGAAAAGGAGCAGAAGGAGCAGCATGAAATGCTTGCTACCACTCAGGATCCAGGTTTTATCCTCGACTCAGAGTAACCTTTCACCAGTTCTCTTTGCCTTAGTCTCCTCCACAAAGCAAGCACGGAGGCTCGACTCCAGAGGAATGTTGTACAAAATAAGAAGTAACTCGTCAATAATAAGAATAAGATAGTAGCACAGGTGGGAAAGGAAAACCCAATTTCTAATCCTGTTCCTAGTTCTTACGGAGAAATAACTAAAACATTGTCTACTCATTGAGTTCATTTACCCATTCACCTGGCCTCTGCTTGGACTTCAGGGAGCTTCTGCGGTTGCTTTCTAAATGTATAATCCGTTCTGGAAAGCTCCATTGTACAGGCCCATCTTCTCCATGCCTGAGGAAATGTCCTTGTATGTGCAGGTGCCTTAGGGTTGACAGGCATTGAGAGCAGTTAGACCACAGGGCACCACGACCAGAGCACAAAGGTAATGTGGGAATTGGGGTCTGGCAATCTTGATCTGTGGTTTAAAAGGAAAGGGAGGACAGAAATAAGTTAGTAAATGTCACCAGAAGAGAAAAACCAGGTGTTAGAAAGAAGAAGGTTTTTGTCACAATAGGGACCAGCAACGCAGAGACAGAACCAAAAAAAAAAAAAAAAGAAGAAGAAGAAGAAAGAAAGAAAGAAAGGCTTTTCCCCAGTGTTGGTAGTAAGCCAGCAGAGTTGGAGGGGGCAAGCTCACACAGCCCTGGGCCCAAGTCACTGCTCTGACTGTGAGCCTTCAGGCACATTGCTTTACTTTTCTGGCCCTAAGTGTTCAGATCTGCAAAATGGAAATTATGGTAGTGCCAACCTCATCCAGATCTTGTAAGATTAAATGAGCTCATACACAGCAGTACTTGGCATGCTCCTCAGCAGATTTAGGAAGGCAGACCTAAGGAAATCCTCAATAAATATTAACTCGTATTATTAACTCAAGCGTGGGCTGGAAATAGAAAAGTATTCACACAAGAAAAAGACTTGTTAGTTGCCCATGGCCTAAGAATTTACATGGGAGGTTGTCACTTTGTATACATATCAGAGACTTAACTACAGAGTATAGTTAAGTAATTTCTGGGTAAGATGTCAATATTACTGAGCTGGAGACCCCTGGACTCTAATAGAGCAAGATATATTGAAGCAACTTATTGACCGTCTCAAAATCTGAAATCACGGATTTTTCTTTTTTTATTACTGTTTGAAGGATAGCTTCTGTTTATATTCATGGCCACCATTCAGTCACCTGGCCACCCCCAGCTACAAGGGAGCTGGGAAATGCACTCATCATTGTTCATAGCCATGTGCCTCACACAAAATTAGATGCTCTGCCCCCGAGGAAGGAGAGAAGAAGGAGACTGGGGGCCTGTTGGCAATCTCTGGCACAGGCAGCTTTTAATATTTCTGGAAGGTCAGAGGAGACTAAGACCAGAAGGAGAATAGGCTCTAACCAGATGAAGGGTGAAGAAAGCTGTAGAGGTTGAGGGATCAAATGAGGCTTCATCCTGAGGAAGAGACTTGGTGAGTTTAGAAAAAGGGAGGGAAGGCCAGTGGGGAAATGGTGGTGGTGGGAGGATGGAAGTAGAAGTGGGCAGGGCCGAGCCAGGGCCTGGGAAGCCATGGGCATGAATTAAGACCTTAGTGGAGTGGGAGCCTTAGTTGATTTGAAGGGAGGGAGCCTAGGTGTGAAGAGACCAGCCGGTAAGCTGGGGCAACCTAATCGGGGCTGTCGTGTCCCAGATGGATTGGAGGGCTGTGAGAAATAGGGGATAATGAATTTTTGCTTCACTGTTCTCTCAGTAATTGCTTTGGACAGACATTGGGTTTCTTCTCTTTAATTTCCTAGAACGAAGCCCTGAGTGATGGTTTCTCTCCTCATTCAGGCAGGTTCTAGTCTGTTTGCAATTATATCAGTTTTTGCACATTGTCAACAACAAGCAACTTACAGCAAATAAAATAAAAGGCTGAGACAAAGGACCAAACAGATGGAGTCGCACCCACTCTTCCTCAGCAAAAGCGGCAGCATGGGCTCAGCTCCCCACCCCGCCCCCCTCCACTTCCCCTTCCCGAGTTTTTTTCTGGTACTTTATTATGCAGCACACCCACCCAGTGTCGCCACAGTTGGCCTTTTTCATATTTATATCTGCCGCTAAAGCTTTTGCATGAAGAAAAATATAACTGGAAATAAGATTTGAAATGAGAATTTCATGCTCTGTTCTTTTCCTTTTGACCTTCATTTCCTTGATCCTGAAATGGCTGGAGTTCCAGGAGCAGCAAAAAGACACAGACCAAAAGGGACAGCTCAGGTAATGGAGGGCACAGGGCACCCATGTCTCAGAGAACTTTCTGCTCCACAGATGTAGGAATAAGTCCCCCCACCAGCTCCCCATCCCAGCTTTCCCGGATCTCTGTTGTCCTTCCTTATCTTAGTTTGAGTTCCTCTAGGCTCTTTGGCCACCATACTCAATTTGGCAGCAAGTCTTACCAATTTCTTTCTTTGAAATGTTTCTTGTATTCTTTCCTTCAGTTCTACTCCTGCAGATTCTACACTAACCACCTTATCACCGCATGCCTGGCCTGTACAGTAATCTTCTCTAGTTTATTCATTCATTTACTCATTCCAAAACATGCGGTGAGCACTTGGTAAGTGCCCAACACTGTTGAAGGCTTTGGAGTCACAATGAAGAAGGACACCATACCCCTGTGAAAGGGTTTATAATTTGATGGAGTCAGATGGGTAGATTCTGAAATCTCAAAACCTCTCTTTCTAGGCAACATTCAGAACTCATGCCTGGGGTCCCTCAGGAGCGTAGAGACAGGGGTCCCTCACTCCCCCCAGGAGGCTGTTTGGGAAGGCCCGGGGTCTGAGCTGAGGCATAGAGGATGAGTGCAGGCGGGGCTGACTGAAGCAGAGAAGGCAAGGCATTCTAAAAAGAGGCAGAGTCTGGGTGAAAGAGCATGACACATTCTGGAAAGAGCAGCCGGTTCCCTACTTATTGCCAGGTTCTAGTTTACCCCAAATCCACTCATTTTGGCATGCAGCACCCTGCAGAAACTTCCCTCTCTTCCCCATCTCACCCGAACACTTTCTCCCCCTCAAATAGACGCCCCTTGCCTCATCTTCTTCTCCAACCCAAATCTGCTCTAGTCAAGTATTCGCTATCCTTCCCTGTGCCTTATTCATTCCCTCTGCTCCCTTCCCCCTGATGCCCCACCCTCAATCCTACCTATCCTTGGTCATAACCTCTATGACATTATTCCCTACTTGTTTCATAGGCTTAAGTCTTATTTCTTCAGCCAATACTCATTCTTTTCATGCCTCTGAATTATCTGCAGTGGCAAGCACAGGGCTAGGAACCCAATGGGAGTTCAGTAAATATCCGTGTGCCACACCACTAATAAATTATTCCTCCAAATTGGTTCAGGAGGCAACCAGAATATCGTGTTATATTTAGGAATTTAGAGGAATGTGTAGATCGCAGAGAAGCTCTCGACTTTCATCCAAACCAGGGATTCCAACCCAAACGTCTGCAGGTGGTATGAATGGGTAGAGAGTCTAGGTGTCATGTAAGAAATGGTTGACTTTTCTCTCAACTCCATTGTAAGTTAAACACCAGCTAGGCTGACACTTGGTTTCAGCACTGAGGATGCAGTAGGAGGTGGTAGGGACGGTGGCGATGAGAAAGTGAAGGTTTCCATGAAGCCTTCAATTGTCACCATGCTGGAACACAGGCCTGGTGTTGCCAGATACTCTGATTTCTCAACAAAAGCCACAAATCTAGATTTTTATGTGACCTACCCCCTGCCCCATAAACACTAACACACAGTCTAGGCTGACACTTAGTGGGCAAACAAAACATATCTGGAGGCCAAATTCAGCCTGGAGGCTGCCAGGTCATTCAGCCCCTGTTCTAAATGGTGAGTAGAGCTGATGCTGGCCCACGTTTTCCCAAGCCTGAGAATGCGTTCTCATGTCATGTGACTGATAATACAATGATGATGCATTGTTTTCACACATACATTCAATCACATACACACTCAAAACACCCCATGAGATTATGGTTGAAGAAGACAGAGAATAAATCACATTTACTTCTAGGACTTGAGAGAACAGCCGGAATTTCAGAGTCACAAGGTATGTGGTGTCCTGACAACTACCACGCCCAAGCTGTCTTGAGGCTGATTTCAGTGAATTGTCCTAGAATGTTCTCAGGACCCTTCACTCTCCTTGTACCTGAAGGAACCTCTTTTTCCTCTTCGGTCCAGATAGTGTACCCTTTGAGTTTGGGAGGACAGTTATACCCCAGCCTCTGGGAACTTCTGGATGAAAAGAAAGAGAGAGCTACATTGGGAAAAACCAGGGTCCCAAGGCTTACCTGTGTGGCTGAACTTTTCAACTCCCCCATCAGTGGGTAGTGTGGCTCTACTTCAGTGCTTCCCAAACTATAATGTGCAAGCAGTCCCCTGGGGATCTTGTTAAAATGCAGATTTTGAGTCAGTAGGTCTGGATGGACCCAAGATTGTGCATTTCTAACATGCTCCCAGGTGATGCCAAAGCTGTTGGGCTGCAAGCCACCCTTTGAGTAGCTGAAGCCAAGTGGACTAAGAACAGGCTCTGGCTTAAGGCCATCTGGGTTCACGGCCATTGCCAGTTCAGCTAGCTGAATCTCTTCGGGAAATTCACCCAGTGATCCTCTCCAAGCATGTTAGTTCCCTCCTTTTACTGGCACTGCCTTGTTCAAAGGATATAATAGTTAAAACATGGGCTCTATTGCCTAACTGCCTGGCTTTGAATTCTGGCTCTGACTCCTCATTATGTGACCACAGGTAAGTGACTTTACCTCGCTGGGCCTCAGAATCCTAGTAAAATGGGGACTACAGCAGCGCTGACCTCTCAGGCGCCTTGTGAGAATTAAAAGAGCATTAAGGCGTGTGGTTGTTTGGAACTGTGCCTGGCTCATAGAAAGCACCCCACAAGTGTTGGCCATAACCTGTGAGACTGCTCTGTGAATTAAAGTTACAAACGAATGCATTCCCTTTATGACCTAGAGAAAGATACTCACAGTGAAGACGGCATCCCTTGCACCCGCGACCTCAGTTGGAGAGATTCGCTCACTTATGGAGAGTGGGAAAGAGAGAACCCCTCTGGGCCACAGCCCCTTTCACTCCTCAGCACCCTGGCAGCCTCCACGGGGCCACAGCTGGCCCCACTCATATAGGTACTGTGATGGGAATAATCTGATCGCCTTCATGGGACAGCCCTGGAGTTCCATCTCAGGCTTGGGTTCAGGTCCTAGGGGCCTGGGGGTGATTCCAGGAGGCTGTGAGTGGGAGTGGGGGGTGCCAGCCAAAGCCACCTCAATTCTCTCTGTTCCTGCTCTGTTCTTCTCTACCTCCAACTGGGTTGAGTGAAACCCTAAATGTGGCAGCTCCAGAGCCCCTAGAGGCTCCTAGGACCTCTTGCCAGGGGCCCTGACAGGACAGAGACCTGGACAACACTGTTGTGGCTAGACCTGCTTCCTCCCTGCTGTGTGGGAGGGGCTGCCTCCTCAGCCGAGTGCCTCTGGACTCTTCCTTTGAGGGAGTGGGAAGCTGGCTTTCCCTTTTCCTTTCCAGAGCTCTTAGGGAGCCCCAATCTTCTGTTGCAGAGAGTGAGAAGGAACTAGGCCAGAAAGGGTCGGGTGGGGATGATCCTTCTCTGGAGCCCAGCCCTTATATTTCCATGTGCCACAGGCTCGTCCACCCATCCATATATTCATTTAGCAAATATGCATTAAGTACTTCCTATGTGCCTCTGCCTGACCAGAGAGAGATCCCTAAAGAAGGTAGGAGTGGTTTGTGTTTTCTCAAGTCAAATAATATTAATAAACCACTAACTCTGACAAGACACCTGTTATTAATAGTTGACAATTAAAAAATTACCTTAAGTATCTATGTGTCCACAGAAGAGCTTTTTAGGCAAGTTATATCTTATTGGACATTCTTCTCTCCTACATTAACAGGAAATTCTATTTGAACCACCTTTTCGCACTGGGGAGAATCTATGCAGCCCTCGCCAACGCCACTCTGCAGCATTCAGCTTTCTGAGGGACTCTGTCTGGATGTAGGGGAGGAGAAAGCTACAACTAAGGAAAAACTAGACTCATCTCACGCTGATAGCATAGCCTTTCCCTGGAGAACCACCTGGGAGCATGGCTCCGGGTAAGAGCATTATTCCAGCATCATTCCAGTACGTAACTCCGGGTCCGTGCCACTACCCATCACACCTTGCCTCCGTTACCACCACCAGGGCAGGCACAAGAAGATGTGCTCTCAGAAGGGCCGCGGACAAGAGATGGAGAGAAGGAAGGAAAGGGAGGCAGGACCAGAGGAGAGGGGGACGAGAAACAAAATGGCGGTGAAGAGCAAGGGGAGGGAGAAAGTCAGAGAAGAAGGGACATCTCACAGAGAGGTGGTAAGAAAACAGAAGGGACCTGAATGAGAAGCTGAAAAGGACAAGAGAAGACATACACCACTGAGAGATGCCTCATGAAGCTTCTATTTATCTAATTTAAAACTTGAAAGTAAGGCCATATACCCAACAAATGTGTTTTCTTCTCTGTGCCAATTATTCTGGATAACTGTGAGGGGCTAAAAACTAATTCCAGCCAAGGGCCTCTCCTGAAGTTTCATTTTTTCCCCCAGTTTGTTGTTGTTGTTGTTTGTTCCTCTTTTGATTCAAGCTTTGTGCCTTCTTCCTTAGCACATTCCCTAACTTGGACTTGCTAGCCTGGCCCTGGTATTTCAAATGAAGGTTTGGGTTTGAGGCTGCAGAAAGGTTCCTGCAGGAGGCAGTGTTAGGACAAGGTGTGTGAGGGAGGAGGACTTTCTCTTTTGTGGTCCAACTTCTTCAGCTGGCTCTTGTCTCAGTCCTACAGACACTGGCTCAATTTCCTTTGCGTATGACACCCCCTTTTTTATTTTTTTTAATTTTATTACGTTATGTTAGTCACCATACAATACGTCATTGGTTTTTGATGTGGTGATCCACGATCCATTGTTTTCATATAACACCCAGTGCTCCATGCAG